TATATATATATATATATATATATATATATATATATATATCAATTTTCATCAAAATTTTCATTTTATTTTAGACATTTGAGCTTACAAGAATTCAACAAATGGAACATATGTTGGGTGAATGGAAACAAATGCGGTTTGAGATAATGAATGCTATGACAGCTCCATCTGGAGAACTTGTAGATTTACGTGGTACTCCACAACGTACTAAATTAACTGGTTCCATGATTAAAGGACTATCCAGTGTAGAAGTGGCTTATGTGAAAGAATTACAAAAGTATAATGATTGTGTTCTTAAAGGGCTAAAACAAAATTTATTTGAAGCATTTCGTATGGCAGCAGAGTCATTTAATGACATAAAGATTGTGGATCTTTGGAAAATGGTTATTGAATGTGTAAATAATATTCAACCAGTCCCTAGAGAAGATCAAATCAAATCAAGAAGTACACCTATTGTTGAACAAGAGATTGTATTACATGCAAGAAAATATTTAGAAAATAGATATGAAAAATTTATGAACTCTGTTATTCGTGAAAACTCAACCCAAGCTCAACGAGGTGGTACTCCAGGTATTGTTCCATTAGTTAAAAGTTTTGTTACTGTTAAAGTACAAAATTTGAAGGATTTGATGGTTGAAAATATACCATTGTGGCCTTTAGTCTATTATTCTATGAGAGTTGGTGATTATAAAGCAGCATTACATTTTCTTAGTCAGTGCAAAACAGATTTTTCAGAATTTAGAATTGCATTAGAAGAAGCTTGTTGTGATCCCTCAAGACGTCTTAGCAGTTCTGCAGAATCAAATTTAAAATTGCAGTATAGAAAACATGTGAGATCAGTTACTGATCCATATAAAAAAGCTGCATATTGTGCATTAGTTCCTTGTGAACCTGATGACTTGCATCCTGATGTAATTTGTACAGCTGATGATTATTTATGGTTAAAACTGTGTCAAGTTAGAGATCATTCAGATGCAGAAAATAAATTGACTTTAGATTATTTACAAACTACTATATCAGAAATATATGGAGAATCATATTATCATGCACATGAACAACCATTTGTATATTTTTCAATGTTATTTTTAACTGGTCAATTTGAAGCTGCAATTGAATTTCTGGCAAGAGGTGCAGGAGCAAGACACTTACCACATGCTGTACATTTAGCAGCTGCTATGCATGAACAAAACTTATTAGGAGTTAGTCAAAGTGTTCTAGCTCCTTTATTAAGCGTTGATCCTGCTGACAAACCTCCTGCTAAAAGATTAAATTTTGCCAGGTTAATATTATTGTATGTTAAACGATTTGATTCTACAGATCCAGAAGAATGTTTACATTATCTATTTTTATTAAGGTTTGTATAGAAAATGAGATAATCATTAATATTTTAAAAATTCTATTTTAAGACTAGATTATTTTTTAGATCTATGAGAGATCCATATGATCGTAATATGTTTGCAGTATCAACTGCAGAAATGGTAGTTGATGCTTCACCAACAGTCAGAGCCCAATTAGTTGGAAAGATAGAAAAAGATCGTTGGATTCCAGGAATTTTAGATAAATTTCAAATTAATGTAGAAGATGTCGTTAATATAAGTGCAGATACATTATACAGGAAAGGTCTTTTAGAAGATGCGGTAATAATGTACGATCTTGCTGGTAATCATGAGAAAGTTCTTAGTTTAATGTGCACGCTCTTAGCACAAGTTGTTAATCAAAGGGCTTCTCCGGGATCGTTTAGATCTCGATTGCAAGTAACTGCTACTGAAATAAGTGGAAGGTAACATTAAAAATTATAATATCATTGTTATTATAAGAGTAAGTAAACATTGTGATTAGGAAATTATGTTAATTTTTATTTTTTTAGATATCAAAACATTGAAATACAAGCACCTTCTGAATTAGTATCTGCATTTTATACTTTAAGACATTTAATGGTATTCTTTGATCAATTTTATAATGAACAATATCAAAGTGCGCTTAGGGTAAGGATTACCTAGGATAATATATAAATATATAATTCAATTAAATACATAATGATTAATTTACAGACTATTGCGGAATCGAAATTGTTACCATTACATATAAAAGAAGTCGATGAAAGAGTGAATGCATTACGACGTGTTCCAGCTGAAGTAACTGGTACATTAGCTGATGTTCTTTTGGCTACAATGACAATACTTTATCGTCAATACCAGAAATTACGATCGATGGAACCAGGTGATGAAGAAGCAAGAAAACAACAACTTCTTGATCTTCGAGAACAAGCGCGAGCTTTAACTAGTTTCGCTGGAATACTTCCGTATCGTATGCCAAATGAAACAAATAGTAAACTTGTACAAATGGAAATTCTTATGTGCTGAATTAAAAAATATGTTATATTTTTTATTTTATTTTCAATATAATATTTTAAGTGATACAACAAATATATCTGTGTAAATTTATAAAGCAAACCAATCAATATTAACAATTCCTCAATTTTTTAGAATATTATTAATATAATGTACATATTTTTTTGTACTTTTATACGTTAAACATAAATTAAACAGAATAAATAGTGATTTTAAAAAGTTACAGTTAAATATAAAAAAAATAGAAATTAGTGAACATTTGTTTCAATTTATTTAAAAATATATTTGTTTTATTAATGAAATTTCTTATCTAAAAGATTCCTTATCATTTATATTAGAAGGTTTAAAGGATGTAACAAATATTCCATTACTAAGATCTTCGACTTTTCCTTCTTTTATCTGAAAATTATTTGATATTATTATTGATGCATTCATTTTTATATATGTTATATTACTTACAGCTCTATAATCAAGAAACATTTCTTTGAAGGCCATAAAATTTGTAAATGTTGATAATACTTCAAAAACTTCACCTTCCAATTCATTTTGTTTATTACTTAATTATTTAAAAAAAAATAATGTTTATTTATTATTATTTATATTTTTATAATTACATACATTGATTAATTATTTTAGATATTCTAAATCAAAATTGCATACTTACTTTAGATAATTTAAAAATGTATCTAGATTAAAATGTGGTACAGTTCTTTGTAAATAATTAACAATGTAATTTTCCACGGTTTTATTCTATAAAAGTTATAAATATATGTATAAAAAATTAATATTTGTGTATATATAAAAAAATTATATACACTCACATATTCATTAAATATATTTGTATAAATCAATTTATTTTCTTCTACGGGTTCAAAAATATTCCAATAATCATCTAAAAATTTTTGTCGAATAGCATGAAATTCATCTTCTAAAAATAAATTTCTTATCAGAAATTGAATCTTTCATATCCATTATTTTAATTTCTTTATACATACCTATTAAAATATCTTCAATATGTCCAATAATTTCATCAAAAAGATTATCTTCTATATTTTTAGAATTCTGTTCCATTTTTTCGTCGACATTTATTAAAATAGAATTATCTATTAAACAATATTATTAAAAGTTTATTATGTTATGACAGTTATTATGTCGTTTACATATATATCTAAATATCAATTATCAATACTTTTAAAAATATTGTTATATTTATAAGATAAAGATATGTTTAATTGCCTTGTAAAATAATATAAACAAACCCATTGTTTCTTCAGCCATAATTTCAATTGTTTAAAAAAATAAGATACTATTTATTTTTATGATAAAATGAACTTATTATTTATCAGATATTATCAATATCGATAGGTTAATAACTATTGAAAACGAGAATCGAATAGATTATTAATCAACCAATCAGGTTTATTAACGTTGTAGTTCAAATTTTTTGACAGTTAACTTAACATGTCTATAATTGAAAATATATCTGTGATTTTTAAAAGAAATATTTTTCTATTGTTTAATATTAAATTGCAATATATTTAATAAGTTAAAAATATTTAGAAATATAAATAGATTTTTGATTTGTTTAAAAGAGTAAGTGACTGAGTTGCATTCTTCAATCATATACTTTTGTTTTTGATATTATTGAATTTTTAGAGTTAAAATATTATTATTAATAAAGCTTTGTTTTTGTTGAATTACTAATGTATTTATAAATTTTCTTTTTCAATATTCAAATGATTTGAAAATTATAAAATGAAAATTTTAATAACATAAATAAATAATATTTTTAATAAAATTTTTTGTCGAAAAAAAAATTCGTAATTAATAAGCATTTATAACATTGATATATCTATAATATTTGATAATATTTGATAATAATAAATTTAATATTGATAATAATAAAATTTAATTAATTTTTTTCAGGATTTTTCATTTAAAAGAGAATATATAATGGAAATATATACTTTTGACAAAAGTCTTCAGGAAAGATTAGTTGAATTAACTGAAATTTTATCTAGCAGAGAAATTGTACCTGCATCACGAATTCAGGCAGAATGGTCTTATCATATTGAGCTTGCATTAGAACCTGTTGGTTGGCAAGCATTATGGAGAATACCACGTTTAATATGTGAAGATTTTCAAATTCATTATCCTACTATAGTAGTTGTAGAAGTTGAACAAGTTGATTTCTCGGACTTATCTGCATTGGTGAAAATTACTGCTGTTCAAGATGAAATTCAATTACCTGACAAATATGATGTACCTCTTATTGATCTTTATCCAACTCATAATCAACAAAATACTGCTTTAGATATGGTGGGTACTGCAACTTGTATCGATCAACTAAGATTCTTTTATAATTACTTATGGATGCCATGGGATTTGGACGATGATGATAATATTGATTGGGTATCTGTACATTTGGAAACAAGAATTAGATTGTTTTTTGATATGAAAAGAGATATTGTTAATAAAGAAACCAGTGATATAATTAGAGGTTTGGTAAGAGAAGGAAAAGAAATTCAACAGAAAATATCAAGATTAGAGGATACTATTTCTGATGGAGAAGAATCACATAGTGATATAGTAGATGGAGGGACAGCATGTCAATTGATGAAACTTCATTTTCGATTACAACAAATTAAAAGAGAAATGGAAGTTCTTGAAAATCCAGTTATGAGAGAAATACTTTTAATGAATCAGACCTTATCCTTAAATAATGATAAACTGGAAAAGAAGGAAAATAAAGAAAAATGTAAGGAAGGTTATTTTGTATGGCTTGGTGGTACTCTAGAAGAAATGAAAGAAACTGTAAATAAAATTCAAGCTTCTTTATCTACAGAATTATTTTTTAGGTATTAAATATAAGTTTATTAAATATTAAGAAACATTATATTATTTTTAATTTTGATATTTTTCTTAGAATATCCGGCTCCCTCTTGGAAACTTTACATACATGTGATGCAGGAGATATAATCGTAGTTGGAAAAGGTATTCATCAAATAAAAGGTGCTGGTAATTTAGAAGATGGAGGTACCATTAAAGGAATTTGTAATTTAGATACAATTCTTAATATGAAAGATATTGAATCTGCACCATCATTGCTTGACTTTTCTGGCAGTGAAGTAAATATATACATTTATATATACATTTGAAACTAATTTCTAATTAATTATAATCATATTTTTAAAATATAGAATATATTTATAGGTTTTATTAGAAAATATTACTGTAGATGTGGGTGATCTTAGAGCAGCTGTGGTAGTAAGAGCTGGAATTACAAAAATAATTAATTGCAAAATATGTGCCTTAAATCAAAGCATGGTAAAACTAGGAGTTGTAGTATTACCAAATGCAAAATTAATAATAGAAAATACAATTTTTGACAGCCTTGGGACAGGTTTAGTCATTTATAGTACTGCAGAAGTATTTATGAATAATTGCAGTTTTAAAAATTGCGCAGAGGGTATACAAGTACGTTTCTTTATTTGAATCAACTTTATTATATATTTATAAAATGATGTAATTATATCAATATATTATCAATAATATATAATATAATACATATATTATTTTTAGCTTTATGATGATGGAAAATTAATAGCAAAGAATTGTTTTTTGACACATTTGAAAGAATATGCTATTCGATTGGAAACCCAAAAATATTTAAATGATTTAAAACGCAAATCTGGTGGTTGTGAATTATTAGAAAATATATCTGAAATTTCTCTTCATGAATGTAAATTTGAGGGTAATGGCAAAGGAGATGTCATATTAAAATTGGGCATACCATTTGTTTTAAAAAAACAAGATGAATCTATGAATATGGAATCTTAAAGTAATTAATTTTATTTTGAATGAATTTTTATTTTTTCATTAAAAGTGCATGTAATTCTTGAATGTTATAGAAATATAAGAATTTTGTTTTTTTTATATGAATCTATATATTTAGAAGTTATTTGGAAGATATAATTTTTATAAAGAGTTATTTTTTCTTTTCTTTTTTTCATAATTAAAAAAAATGTTTATATATATAAATATACTTTTACTTTTTTTTTTTGCAATTTATAAATGTCAATTAGATAAAGGCGGGAATTTTTGAATTTTCAGTTACTCTACTAGTTATATATGCCATCGTTAGATGGCAGCACTATTTTAAATTGTTCACGTTACGGTATATTCCTGTATGTTAAAATCTGGTGTAAATTTATTTTACATGATTAACTTTAAAAGTAAATCTTTCTTAATGAATATATCATATTTTAGTAAGATAATATCTTACACTTTGAAGAATTCTATCGTAAGTTTTTTTATTATTTAATTTAATTTAATTATTTCTTTTCAAATAATTCCAACTTGCTTTCTAACCTAAACGTGTTACTCTAATATTTTTTTGATATTTCTCTCAGTAACATTATTATTTAATATTTTATTCTGTTTTGCATAACATTTTTATCAATAATATCAATTAGAAACACAAGCGATTTTAAATATTTCGTAATATAAGTTAAATATATTTAATCTATAACAGGTTATGGAAAGAATATGCGTATGTATATATAAGTGCAACTATTATAACTAATTAAAATAATACAATTTTTTAATCATTATTTACATACAATAAAATCATCAATCAAAAAAACATCGTTTAAGTTATATATGTATATGTATATGGAAAAAGATAGTATTTGCACGTGTATCTTAAATTGACATGACGTAAATGATAATTCATTAGATTTTATTCGTTCGTATTTATAAATGGACTCACAAGTACTTATATACTTGGCAATGTAATAGTGTTATATGAATGAAATAGAATAATTTAAACTCACACTTTCGATGATGAATGAAAATTCTTCTGCTAATGATATCATTTATTT